AATGTATCTAAAGAAAGCTCATAAACAGTACATCATAGAGCATTAAACCAACAATCTCCCACTTGCTCTAATCATGCACTGCTAAACATCTAATGCCCATATCCCTAACATGACTCTCATGCTTCGACGAAGGGAGAGGCTTCGTCAATGGATCGGCAATGTTGTCATCTGTCGACACTCTGCAAATGTGCACGTCTCCTTTGTCTATAATCTCCCTGATAAGGTGAAATCGTCTGAGTATGTGTTTGGATCGTTGATGGGATCTGGGTTCTTTCGCTTGTGCGATCGCTTCATTGTTGTCACAATACAGAGCAATGGGGCTATCAGCACTCGGAATGACACCCAAGTCGCCAACAAACTTCCTGATCCAAACAGCTTCCTTTGCTGCGTCCGACGCTGCAATATACTCAGCTTCTATAGTAGAATCTGTAACGGTCGCCTGCTTGGAACTCTTCCAGCTAACAGCGCCTCTGTTCAAGCAGATAACATAGCCAGACTGCGATCTGTAGTCATCCGGGTCTGACTAGAAACTAGCATCGGTGTAACCTCTTACAGCGAGCTCGTCTTCCGACCCACCGTATACCAAGAACACATCCTTAGTCCTTCTCAAGTACTTCAGGATGTTCTTGACGGCGATCCAGTGCGACTCACCTGGATCTGACTGGTATCTACTCATAATGCTCAACGCGTAGGATACATCCGGTCGAGTACAAAGCATGGCATACATGATGGATCCAATTGCCGAAGCATATGGAATCCGGTCCATGCGTTCTCGCTCATCAGGTGTCGTAGGACACTAACTCTTGCAGAGAACTGTGCCACTGCTCATCAGTAAGGTTCCTTTCTTGGAATCTTGCATCTCGAACCGTTTCAAGACCTTATCGATGTAAGCACTCTGACACAATCCTAGAAGACGCCTCGATCTATCTCTATAGATCTTGATGCCCAGAATATAGGCCGCTTCTCCTAGGTCCTTCATAGAAAACTGCGTTCCTAGCCAAGACTTAACATCTTGCAAGGTAGGAACGTCATTCCCTATAAAGAGAATGTCATCCACGTACAGCACCAGAAAAACTACTGTGCTCCCACTAACCTTCTTGTAAACACATGGCTCGTCTTCGTTCTGTGAGAAACCAAACTTTTTGATTGTCTCATCAAATCGAAGGTTCCAGCTCCTCGAAGCCTGCTTCAGTCCATAAATGGACCTCTGAAGCTTGCACACCATCCTCGGGTTCCTTGGATCGACAAAACCTTCGGGTTGTGTCATGTACACATCCTCGGTCAAGTTCCCGTTAAGGAACGCGGTCTTGACATCCATTTGCCATATCTCATAGTCGTAATATGCGGCTATGGCAAGTAGGATCCTGATGGACTTCAGCATAACTACGGGCGAAAACGTCTCATCATAGTCAATACCATGAATCTGACGAAATCCCTTCGCCACAAGTCGTGCCTTATACGTGTGCACGTTGCCATCCATGTCGGTCTTCTTCTTGAAGATCCACTTGCATCGGGAAAGGACAGAGAGCGACAGAGTTATTGGATCTGATACATAGTGATGTATGCGGACCAATGAGCTGTCCAGCTAGAGGAGGTTATCTGTATTTCGTTACGTTCACTGATGATTTCAGTCGATACGGTTATGTCTATTTGATGAGACATAAGTCTGAAACACTTGAAATGTTCATGGCTTTCAGAAAAACCAGCTTGGCAAGACGATCAAGACACTTCGATCCGATCGTGGTGGCGAGTATATGAGCCAAGAGTTCACTGACTATCTGGTTGATTGTGGTATTGTATCACAATTAACTCCTCCTGGAACGCCACAGTGGAACGGCGTGTCAGAACGGAGGAACCGAACACTGTTAGACATGGTTCGGTCTAAAGTCGCATTCCTGGCAATGAACACTTTGTTCTCTGCCGGAATGTAGAAGTAGTAGCCCTTAGTTTCCTTAGGGTAGCCTACAAATAAACACTTATCAGATTTGGAGGATAACTTATCAGTCATCTGACGCTTCACATAAGCGTCGCAACCCCAAATTCTGACAAACGACAACGCGGGTCGCTTCCCCGTCCATATCTCATATGGCGTCGTTTCAGCCGACTTCGTTGGACTCCTGTTCAGCAAGTACGCAGCGGTCTCTAAAGCATAGCCCCAAAAGGACTTTGGAAGATCTGTCTGACTCATCATAGACCGAACCATGTCTAACAGTGTTCGGTTCCTCCGTTCAGACACGCCGTTCCATTGTGGCGTTCCAGGAGGAGTTAATTGTGATACAATACCACAATCAACCAGATAGTCAGTGAACTCTTGGCTCATATACTCGCCACCACGATCGGATCGAAGTGTCTTGATCGTCTTGCCAAGCTGGTTCTGTACTTCATTTCTGAAAGCCTTGAACATTTCAAGTGTTTCAGACTTATGTCTCATCAAATAGACATAACCATATCGACTGAAATCATCAGTGAACGTAACGAAATACAGATAACCTCCTCTAGC